GAGAGTGAAAAAGGCTATTTTGAAGCTGGTTCACCCACATGGATCCTGTCTCAGGTTCCTATTGATTTCTGCTGTAATAAATCACTATCAACTTAGTCACTTAAAACAAAACACATTTGTTATTTCACAATTCTGGAAGTCAGAGGCCCAAAATGCATCTTATGGGGTTACAGTCAAGGTGCTGGCTGGACCACGTTCCTCTTGGAGGCTCTGAGGGAGAATCCCCTTACTTGTCTTTCCAGCTTTGAGGGGCTGCCTGCATTCCTTGGCAATGGCCCCCTCCTCTAGCTTCTCAGCCAGCCATATCTGGCTGAGTTCTTCTCATGCTGTCATCTCCCTAGTTCTCTTCTGTCCCCCTCTTTCCCAGTTCAGAGCTTTGTGACTGCACTGTGATGGCACTTGGAAAATCCAGGGCACAGTCCCAATCTTGCAGTCACTGATGTGTACTTTGATTACATGTGTAGCCTTAATTCCCCTATGCTGCATAAGCTCACGTATTCATATGGGACAGGGACCAGGAGCTAGACATCTTCTTGGGGGTGATTATTCATTCTACAAGCAACAAGTACTGACCACTGCTGTGGTCTGAATGTTGGTGCCCTCCCACCCAATCCATGTGTTGAAATCTAATGTCTGATGTAATAGAATTAGAAGACATTAGAAGACATGGTCCACGCTCTGGGCTTGAGGGCTGGATGATTCCCAGAGCTCAGACCTTAGGCCATAGACTACCCAAAGGGTTTCTTGGTTACTTTCAAAATCACTTCTCTATTTATTTGTCAGTTCATTTATTTGTAAAGCTGTGGCCAAGTCTTTTAACCTCCAATCATAGTGAGCTCAGTTTGCAGTCCTGCCTGTGTTCCTGGGATGATGTCAGAACATGAAGTGTGTGGAAACCTGTTTCATAAGCCATGGACACCAGGCTCTTCTAAGAGATGATCACTGGCACAGATAGTACTAGTGTGGACCAGAATACAGATTTTTTGGCCTGTTTCATTCAATGGGCCTCAAAGGTGTGGACTGGGTCTTGTTCATGCTTCTATTTCAGAGGCTTCTATTTCAGATCTTACTGAGTAGATGTCATCTGTTCAGGCTACTTTTACAAAACACCTTAGACTTAACTAGGCAATGTATAAACAATAGAAATGTATTGCTCACAGTTCTGGAAACTGCTAAGTCCAAGGTCAGCAGACTGGGTGCCTGTTGAGGGCTTGTTCCTCAAAGCTGGCAATGCCCAGCTGTGTCTACACGGTGGCGGGGCCAGAGGAGCTACCTCAAGCCTTTTTGATGAGGACACTGATAGTATTTGTGAGCATGGAGACCTTATGACTTAGTTCTGCAAGGGCCCTCTTTCAATTTTATCACATTAGACGTTAGGGTTTGACATATGAATTGGGTGAGGAGGCACACCAACATTCAGACCAGAGCAGTGGTCAATACTTGTTTCTGCATTAAGGAATAAGTAAAAGGCTGCACAGAAGATTGTATATATTAAGATCTGAGAGGAATCTAATAATAAATAAAACATTGTTTTCTGCCCTGGGGATTAATGATATAGAAGGTGAAACAGACATATACAAATGACAAAGAGTAGACTGTAATAAAAGTGTCATATGAGAAACAGAAGAAGACAACTTTAGCATTCCAACAAGTAAGAATTCAACACAGAGTTGTGGAAATCAGGCAACATTTAATTGACAGGTGACATCAGATAATAGAGTTTGAAAATCTGTGGCACTCAGCACTACTACTTCCCTCTTCTAATGCTGGGGCAAGCATAACTAATCAATCAGTGTTCATTTCCACTGAGTCACTGATTAGTTTTTTAACACAGTTCCAGTCACCCATAGTGTGAGTTAATAAGCAGATTAAATCCAATTTATCCTGCTGGGTTCTAGGTGGGATTTATTTACTGGTGGTTTATCAGATTAATTTTGCCTGAAATACACTTACAGCAAAGTGTTATCTTAAAGTCTCCTTGGGTATCCAGAGTAAAAAGCTCACTGCTTTTCGGTTTCCCTGGGTGAATGTTCCCTGAGGTGCAGGACTCTCTGTAGGTCTCAGCACAATTTGTGCTCTGACTGAGAGCCAAGGTTGAAGGCTCCATCCACACCAACAGCTATATAATTTAAGGTCTGTTCTTGGCCCTACTAGTAAGGAGTCTGTACTTGAATCCACACAGATGCACGAGCAACCTCGGCCCAAGACAGCAGCCCAGTTGTGAATCTGATGCACATCATTGCTCGGTGCTGTGTCCTCAAATCTTGGTGACAATGTGTTTCCATTCTCTACATAGTGAAGACAGGATTCCCCAGACAGAAGCTTGAGGGGCAAAACAGAGAGGGTAGGAGGGGAGTGCAGCCCTGGAAGGAGACAGGGTCTTATTCCCTGTTTGACAAAGGACTTCCTCCTCACCCTTGAGAGAGGACTTGAGCACAGTTCACTTGGTCCTGAGTCTGATTAAGTGAAAGTGATTATGCAGATTTGTTTGGGAATATCCACTTCCACTCTAAAAACAGAAAGTAAAAGTTTTCAGTAAAAGTGTGAAGAAATGGTAGTCCAAAATATTCACCTAAAAAAAAAGTCCAAATCTCTCTTTAGCTATAGATTTCAAGCATTTAAAAGTAAAGAACATGGCTGGAGTTGTGGCTCAAGTGGCAGAGCGTCTGCCTAACCCTGAGTTAGTGTCAGGCCTTGAGTTCAAACCCCAGTACTGCCAAAAAAGAAAAAAGAAAAAAACCCTAACAGTGGAAAACTTTTCTTTAATTGAGCATTCTGTCACTATAGCTAATAAGAATTTTTGTCTGAGTATCTCTGCAAATACACAGGAGTTGTTACCAGATTGATGGGTGGTTTTCTTGGAAGATCATATACTCTGAGAGAAAGATGGATAGCGTTACAGGCTGTATTCATAGGCTCCAAAATCAGAGATTGGTCTATTTTTAAAAATCCCTATTTCCAGAATGAGATCACCATAGCCAGCCAGTTGTCTCTCATTTTCTCTCATCTACCAGTTGGTATGAGCTTTGATCTGATTCTTTCATAAATAAAGTGCAGTAAGAACTGTTAGCTGGCAGCCTCAAACACTGATTTGGACTGATTTAAACAAAAAAGGAGTTTTGTTAAAAGAGTATCTTTAGGCTAGGCATGGTGGTTTAAGCCTGTAATCCTAGCTACTCAGGAGGTAGAGATCAGGAGACTCATAGTTTGAGGCCAGTCTGGGCAAAAAGTTAGCAAGATACCATCTCAAAACACACAAGTTAGGTGTGGTGGTACATGCTTATAATCCTAGCTACACTGGAGTTATCAGCAGGAGGATCACAGTCCGAGGCTGGTTCAGGGCAAAAGTGTTAAGACCCTACCTGAAAAATAACTAAAGGAAAAAGGGCTGGGGGCATGGCTCAAGTGGTAGAATGCCTGCCAAGTATGTGTAAGACAATGAGTTCAAACCCCAGGACTGCCACAACAAACAAACAAAAAAATAGGCTCAGCACACAAGGGAGGGGTGAGGATAGGTAAGACGCCTAAAAAACTAGATAGCATTTGTTGCCCTCAACGCAGAGAAACTAAAGCAGATACTTTAAAGCAATTGAGGCCAATAGGAGAAGGGGACCAGGAACTAGAGAAAAGGTTAGATCAAAAAGAATTAACCTAGAAGGTAACACCCACGCACAGGAAATCAATGTGAGTCAATGCCCTGTATAGCTATCCTTATCTCAACCAGCAAAAACCCTTGTTCCTTCCTATTATTGCTTACACTCTCTCTTCAACAAAATTAGAGATAAGGGCAAAATAGTTTCCGCCAGGTAGCAAGGGGTAAGGGTAAGGGGGGGTAAGGGAGGGAGTGGGGGAAGGGGGGAGAAATGACCCAAACATTGTATGCACATATGAATACAATAAAAATTTTTTAAAAATAGGCTCAGGTTTACATACGTAGAAGCAAAAATCAAAATTTCATCCTAGAATTATTCTGATAGAAAAAGCTCCAGCACTGAATTCTTTGCCTTGAATCACTGCAGTTGAGTTTGCTGAAACCCCAGTTGCTTCCAAAGACAGACCCCTTCCTGCCACTGCTGCACCCACTTCAAAGTCCATTGTGGGCATAAGTGATTGGGCTCCGTGTTCATGCATGGCTGCAAGGGAGTCTGGGAAAACTGACATTTTCAGTTTCTGTGGTACAACACAGAATTCTCCAAATATAAAGGAATATCAATATGCTGGATAGCCAACAAAGTTGAAAAATGTCCTCCATCAGCCATAATCACAGGTGCACAAATTTCTGGACCCTTTCAGAAATTTATGGTCCATTTGAGAAGATGGGGCACCACACATTCGGCCTTGTCTTGAAGTTGTTATTGTATCAACTCAGTCAAAAAAAATTGCCTGCAGGTTAGAAAAGAGAGAGATACAGAATATTTTCAAAAGCACTACAGAAGTGTGAAATTTGAAGAAGTCATTGCAGGTATTAAAGCAACATCTGTGTTTTAAAAGTGTGACATGGAGGATAGCTGGAAATGTAAATGTCAACTCTGCTGTGTTTTGAGAAAGCTGAAGATGGCAGATGCCATATTTGTAAGGAAATGACCCTTCTGTGGTTATATGTGTGGGTCTTGCATTTCTAGATTTGTTTTTAAGACTCATTGAACTGCTGGAGCCATCCACATACAACCTCAGCCAGTGGAGGACTGGAAGGTGAATTTTCATATGAGTTTCGTTCCTATTGTCTGTCAGTCAAGGAAGAGAGAGATTTCTAGGTAAATAGCAAAGGAGATGTGGGTATCTCTTGGACTCAGTCTTTTCACTAGGAAATACAGAATTTAACATACTAAGGAATGGACTCCCCAATATTGTCAATTAAAGAGTGATAGAAAATTAGGATTTTCCTTCAGCTACAGGAAACCACAGGCTGGCAGTGAGTAGGTCAATCTTGGTTAACCAAATTATCCACATTCATAGTATTTGCCATGCTTTGAATCTGACATGTCCCCTACAGGTTCCTGTGTTGAATGCTTGATCCACAGCTGCTGCTATTTTGAGAGGTCCTGAGAATTTTAGAAGGAGCCCAAGTTGGAGGAAATGGGTCCTAGAGGGCATGCCCGTGAAGGTTATAATGATCTCCAGTCCCTTCCTCACTCTCTGCTTCCTGTCTGCCATGAGGTGACCAGCCTCTTCGTCCACATGTTTCTGCCACCAAGATGTTGAGCCTCACCATGGACTCTGAACCAATGGTGCCTAGGACTACAGACTGAAACCGTGAGTCAAAATAAATCCTTCCATCCTCCAGTTGCTATTCTCAGTTATTTGGTCACAGCAACTCAAAGTCTAATACAGTATTTTTTATTTTGATATTGAAATTTTAATACTAAATATATTTAATACTAAATGATGTCTTGTTTAGCAGATGTGAGCATTCCAGCAATGTCTTATTTATGCCATGGGGTATAAAGATGAGATTCTTTTGCCTATATTTAGGCTAGAGTATGAAAAGTATGAGTAATTTCTCTTGCTCCAACACTACGTTAGGAGGTGGTAGCCTAGGGGTGTCACAAACAAGGTCAGTCTTAGGGAAGGAGGTACAGATGCACATTCTAGCTACCTTCTGAACCAAAAAAAATAAAAAAGGCTCTTTGGAGTGAGAATTTGAAAGATCTCAATTTTATACTTGTTAAAGAAGACAAAGAGCAATTTCCTTACATTATGTTCAAAAAAAGTCAGGGACTACTCATGCCTGAGGCTGACAAACCCCACAGTGAGCTCCTTACAAAGTGAGTACTCAGCGATTAGTTGTTCCAAAGAACATTACGGTAGGATAACGTCCAAAGCTATCCCTTGTTCTCTCTCTATAAAAGGATACTTTTAGTGGTGCCATTTGGAAGAAGGACTTCTTATTTTTTTAAAAAGATGTCCCAAATCACTGTGGCTTCTAATTGCTACTGGTGGCATTTGGCACAATCTCTGGTCTGGCCACTTTTGCAGAGTTTACTTGACTGCACAGCTGTGGTTTCCAGGCAAGACACCATTATTTGATCTAGCAATTTCATGCAAATTAAAGGCTGAAAGTGTGTGCTCCATAGTGAGATACCGCTGCCCTACATTTCATGAAGGAGTCAATTTAAAGGGAGACTAAAACCCCAGTGCATGAGACTGTTGACTAGACATTCCTTAAAATAAATACTGTTGAGAAAACTGAAGACAAGATTAATGTCTGAGAGCTGACCACAACCCAGACATTTTGCACAGATCTTCATAAAATCCTATATTCAGCCTTATGAGGAAGAAATGATTACCTGCAGGGCATGGATGGGTTAGCCTTGGTTAAAGCCTTTTGTTGGACATTGTGTCCCGTCCCCCACCCCTCCGCCCGGCCCGCCTCTCCAGCATCATCTGGTGCTCGCTTTACCCTCATGCTTTGTATTCTGGCTTGTTTGCCCTGACTCCATTGTCCTCATGTCCTTGGCTTGTTCTCTCCTCTCTTTGTGTTCTAAGCCACACTGCTCCACCAGTCAATGCCTGTTCTTTCTCCTGGTGTCTGTGTTCAAGCAGGACCTGGAAATGCCATTCCAGATTGACAGCAGCTTTCTGTGTCATGGGCTCTCAGAACCATATTCCTCTCCTTCAGGATACTCTTTTGGTTTATAATACACCCTCAATGACGTCATGACCTCATGCCTTCCGCCCATATGTGGCCTCCTCACAAGACTGTGAGCTCTGTGAGGAGCTCTGTGCAAAGACCCCCCCCTAGCCTTTGACACACTGACCAACGTAATGTCAGTCCTGGGTATTTGTTAAGGGAATAAATGAGGTATGTGTAGAGCGACATTCTGAAAGTCTCCCCAAGAATTCAGTGGCAGAGCTGAAAGTCAAACCAAGCTTCTTGATTTTGGCATTTGTAAATGGTGGCTTTAGAGTATGGGTTCTGGGGTGAGGACCCCTGTGTTCATGTCTGGACAGTGTCACTTCCTATCTCTGTGATCATCGGCAGGTTGCTTAACCTTATGTGACTTTGAGTATTTCTAAAATGTGGTGATTAATAATAAGAACTACTTCAAAGGGTTTTTGGGCAGTTGTTGCATTGTCGTTGGCATCATCACATCACTGTCCTGTGTCATTTTACTTGATGTTTGTACTGCATGATGAGGGAAGTAGATACCAAGTACCTTGAATGAAGAGGCACTGAGTTCTGTCTGGGGGCCCTGGAGCAGGGTAAACTTCATAGAAAGGATTACATTGGAAGTTTCTCTTGAACTAGACAGAGGAGGGCAGAAAGGACCAATCAGAATCTCTTCTGGCAAGTCAGCAGATTGAATTGGAAGGTGCCTGTTATAGACTGAATTGTCCCCTCATCCAGTCATATGTTGAAGTTCTAACCCCAGTATCTCAGAATGTGACTGCATTTGGAGGGAGGACAAGGTAAAATGAAGCCCTTATGATGGACCTTAATCCATCCTGGCTGGTGTCCTTATAAGAAGAAATTTGACACTGTATGCCCAGAGGAAAAACCATGTGAAGACACAGGGAGAGGACAATTGTTTACAAGGCAAGGAGAGAGGTCTCAGAAGAAACCAACCTTGATGACACGTTGGGCTTGGACTTGTACCTCCAGAACCATCATGAGAAAATCAATTTGTCATTTAAGCCATGTAGTCTGTGGTACTTTGTCATAGTAGCCCTAGCAAGTTAATATGGCATCCTACATGAAATCAAATACCTACAAGTTCTGGATAGAATATGTCCTGTATCTCCTGGGTATGCTTTAAATGCTTCCGTCTCCTCTAAAATTCATGTGTCTGGTAACTTAATCCACAATGTAACAGTGTCAGGAGGTGGGGCCTCATGGGAGTTTTCTAGGTCATGAGGGATTCACTCTCACAAATGGCGTAATGCTACTATGAAAAGTAATTTCAGGAATGAGTTCTCCCTCTTCTGCCCTTCTTCCATGGGTGCACCTGGTAATCCTCCCCTTTGGAGGACTTATTCAGGATGTCATCTTGGAATCAAAGAGACTCGTCCCTAACCTACCAGTGCCTTGATCTCAAACTTCCCAGTCTCCAGAACTATGTGAGAAATAAATTTCTATTCTTTATAAAGTATCCAGTCTCAAATATTCTTAGCACAAATGGGCTAAAATGATCCCCAAATGAAATATTTATCCAAGATCAAATGAAAGATGAATAGATCCTGATATATTAGAAATAAAGGTAGAATTTGGAGGCCTACTTTGAGGGCATGAACAGGTTTTCTAGATCCCAAGATCCAGAAATGGATCTGGATGGTGATGCAGACCCTAATGGCTGGCGATAGACATTTTAATGCTGTCTTGAAGATGGAAGATGGATGCTGTGGCCAGCACAGGCAGGGATTTAGGACTGACACTCTTGCCAAAAACCAGGAAGTATTGCTGAAGTGAGAAGAGCATTAGAAAATCCGTGCTCACTAGTTGGACAAACAAGAGATTTGTCTCTTTTTATGATACTGGAGAGGGGAAAAGCCTCCTACAGGAAAGCAAAGCTTGTGCCATACTTGGGTGTTTAATCAGATTTTCATTGTCACATTGTCACTGAATTTGATTAATATAAAAACTGGTCCAAAAAAGAAGATACTAGTATTAAACCCAGTATATCAGTAATCACATTAATTCAAATAAATCAACCTAGTTCACATTTTTGCCAAATCATTAAGCTGGGAGAAATGTGTGGTTTATTTGTAAGAGATATTTTTAATTCATGTGGCATAGAAAAGTTGAAAGTTAAAGGGTAAAAAAATATATATAAGGCAAAGAAAATGATATTTTAAAAACATTTTGGTTAATATATATTCGTTGTGCAGGGGCGTTTCATGGTGACATTTGCATATATGCTTACAATGTCCCCTGATTAGACTCACCCCTCCCTCCCTCCTTCCCCATCCCCTCCCCCACATATTAAAACAATTTCAGCAGGTGTCATCGTTCTATTTTCATACAAATATATTAAGTGCATCAGTCATACTCACCCTCCATCACTCTCTCCATTCACCAGCCCTTCCCAGCTGTACCCACCCGGAACAGGGCCTGTTTTACCTTCATGTTTTTAAGTATATACTCATGATTCAAAGGGTTTCACTGTGGTATTTCACACATGAAAATACTGTAATTTAATCAGATTAACACCTCTATTACTCTCTCTCCCTATCCCCATTATTAGCCAACAGTTGCTAATGTCAAACTCTAAAATAGATTGCTATGATTTATAGAAACCTGGTATAAGGAAATAAGCAACCAGAAAGACACTGGGAACTTAGAATAACAAGGTAATCACAAAAATATATAAAGTAAAAATGGACAGAATTACAAAGAGAAATCAGAATATTTAAAAGCATAGGAGGGCCAGGTGCCCGTGGCTCATGCCCTTGCTACATGGGAGACTGAGATCAGAGGACTGTGGCTCAAAGCCAGCTTGGGCAAATAGTTTGTGAGACCCCATCTCCAAAATAACCACAGCAAAAAAATGGACTGAAAGTGTGTCTCAAGTGGTACAGTGTCTGCTTTGCAAGTCTGAAGCCCTGAGTTCAAACCCTTGTACCACCAAAATAAATAAATAAATAAAATTCAAAAAATAAAACTGTAGGAGGAAGTATAATAGCTTAAGCAAATATCACTGAGGATGCAGGAGATACAAACAAAATTGATCCAATGGCCACATCCAGACCCCTGTTCCAGAAATTCAGGAAAACCCACTTTGTTTTCAAGTACATGCTGACCATTTGCAAAACTCAATCCTATATCAGGCTGTAGCATAACTCTCAACAAAAAACCTCTCAACTAAAGAATCAATATCATACACACTATATTCTTTGTATACAATACAATAAAATTAGAAGCCAATAATAAAAAATCCCAAAGAAAATACGTTTGAAAATGTTAGTAATTCACTCAAATAGTGTATTAGTCAATTAAAAAATTATGGTCAATAGAACCAAATAATACAAACACTACATACCATAAACTTGAGAGATGAGCTAATGCAGCTCTGGGAGTAAAACTTTAGCTTTATGTCAACTGGTAAGAAAGATTAATGATGATTTTATGATAAAGGATATGGGTGATTAAATGAACAGCATGAGATGAATGACTAAATGAAATGATAATTAAATGAGAGGGCATTCAATGTGTTGGCTTCTTGATTTGACCTCCTGGCTTCCAGTGATGGCTTTCCTCACACTTTCCCATACCTTCAGTTGTTGCATCTTCGATCTTGAATTTCCAATATGTGTTTATGAGAATGTTCAGTTTGTTCCTACCTCAGGACTTTTGCATGTACCCTTCATTTATCTGGGATACTTTCCCTTCCATTTATGATTCTTCCCAAATTCACCTTCTTAATGGTTTTACCTCTATATAACCTATGGCCATCATTTTCTATCCCTGCCGATAGAACTTATATGCTGCATAATAAAAAGCTGCTATATATATGTGTGTATATATACATACATATTTCTGTTCACTATTCCCACTGGGCCACAAGTTCTACAATAACCAGTGTTGTCTGTCTTATTCACAGAGGTAGCTTCAGTATCCAGAATTGATGCCTGAAGCCTGGCGATGATAAATTCTTATGAATATTTTTTATGAAATAAATGGATGAATTAATCTATACCATTCATAAAATTATTAAGTATCTGATTTGAAGGAAAAAAACCCCTGTTTATAAGTCTGTCTTGTAATTCGATTCTGTGATTGGCCTGTTAGATAAAAGTAAATCCATGAGGTGGCAAGCACTGTTACGGAAACTATGCACACAATGCTATCATTTTATAGAGCTGGACATGTAATTTTGAAGGAATTTACTGTCGAAAGGACAATATTTTTATGTGAGTTGACACACCACTTTCAACTCTCCTTCCAAAAAGCAAATAGTAATAAAGAACCTTCAGTATATCTAATTAGTCATTAATCATCAATAACACTATTAAATAGCTTTTACCCCCGAAAAGACATATGTTTTGTGTTATATTAAAATTTTTATATGACATGTGTGAACTTTTAGAAATTGGATTTATAGTTTGGATGGCACCTCTTAAAATTTGCACTCTTAATGTTGAAAAATATTTCATAGCCTAAAAGTACTTATATATTGCAAAAGCTAGACAGGGAGGAAAATGCTGTCTTTTCTAGCACCAAGCCCTCTTTTCATCAGTTACTTGAATGTTTTTCCTATTGTGGAAGAGACATATAAACAAGAAAAAAAATACTGCTTGTCTGGGCAATGGTGGTTGGTAACGCTTAACTATTGCTGTTCCCACATTGCTTTCCCAACACCCATACTGTGGCTCAAGTGTCTTACGCCAACACAGATTGGCTTGGCCTCCGCCCAGCATCCTGGGGACATCAGAAGTCAGGAATCCGCACAAGTCTGCATGGAGCCTGAAGAACTGTTGCCATGGGCGTTTCTCCTTTGTTTCCTCCCCTTTCTTCTCCTCCATATTCAAACCTGCTCTTTGTGCCTCTCAGATAGCTCATCTAAAAAAATCCTGCAATATCAAAAGAGTTAATTTTTATCTGTTTATGTGTTTAGAGTTTGCCCAAACTGAACATTGATGAGACCCAAAGCAATTTTTGTTTCCTCTTTTGAGATTTCCTAGAAAGATTTTGCAAGGGTTACCAAAGACCTCCCTTCCCATGCTGTTTCAATTAAAAAAGAGAAGAACGAAGCCTTCTTCTTTTCTGTCTCTCTCTCTCTCTCTCTCTTTCTCTCTGTCAGGGTTTTGTGACCTTTTTGCCTGGGCTGGTCTCAAACAGTGATCTTCACAATCTCAGTCTCCCAAGTAGCTAGAATTGAGCCACCGGTGCCCCCTAACTTCTGCCTTCTTGATAGTTGCAAAAAAAATGAAGGTTCATTTCTTGCTTATTACACATGCTTATCTTGGGTAGGTTAGGGGCTCTCTCTAACTTCAGTGTGAGCCCAGAGAGCATGTGCCATGTAGAATGAAACTGCTCACTGTGGCCAAGGGAAAGAGCTTAGAAAGTAGCTCTGCATATCTCTTCAGGTCAAATTCCATTAATCAAAACAAGTTACCTGGCCTGTGTTGCCTTAGGGGACCGGGAAAATATCCACACTTTGTCATTCCACTATGCTGAGAGGAAGGGAAATTGAAAATACATATCTAATTGCTAGGTTAAGACCTCATAGACAGCCATATTGGGAGGTCATAGATCTCCTTCCTCACATATCAAGAAAAGTTGACAATGGAGCTGAAGTGAAGTGGCTCAAACAGTACAGTACCTGCCTAGCAAGCCTAAGGCCCTGAGTTTAAACCCCAGTACTGCCAAAAAAAAAAAAAGACTGTGGATGCTCAGTGTTGTCTGTACTGACAGAGACAGAGTAGTTGGATCACATGGGCTGTGCAGTTTCTTTCCTTGGATGACCAACAATACACAACATTGTGGTGTTTAAAATCTCCATGGAGATTTCTATAAGTACAGAGGCTCTGGTTCCAGCTCTAGAGTCTTTTTCCCCAAAATATTACATTGCTTTCTGTCTCTGACTTTCTCTTTTTAGGTGTGTTCCACCAGAACAAAAGGAGAAGGATTTGGCAATAATTGTCTCAGCATGAGAGAGGGATATTAAACCTGCTATAAATATAAATGCATATGAAGGTAAGTGATACTCATAATTCAACAGGATTATTTCTAAGGTCAGTAGAAAAAACAGGACAAAAAAAGGTCAGAGTATTCCAAACAGCTGCTTAGATCTTGTGTTAACAGGAATGATGATTTAGGAACCGAGAACGCACAAGCTTTCTTGGCTCCAAAATAGACATTTGTATTAAGCCTCTTTCTTTGCTTTTAAAGACAAAATGAATCTGGGCTCTCCATTTTACTGTGATGACCGATCATTGTGAGTCAGTATGTGACAGGTATTGTGGTTAATGAGAAATGGGCTTCATGTCAAGAGACATCAGAACCCTTCAATCTGCGTGGTTTCATGATTAGAAGGAAAACATTTTTCTTCAGATTCTTCATGACTAGAAAAAAATTTTATAATCTCATAAATCTTCAAATTTGGAGCATATACCAGCAACTTGGACATAAATATATTCATAGCCTGTCAGGATATTTAGCTAATGGGACTGAGTCTCTGGCCAGCTTCTTGTGTGCACTTGTCTGGAAAGTCCTTCCCAAATCCTTAGTCTTCACCAATTTTCTCTCTCAAATCCTGCACAGAATAATATAACAATAGAAACCGACATTGATAATTTCAGTTTGTACTTGAGGTAACATAGTAATTTTAAAGGTCCAAAGTGATCTATGCAGATTTAGAATGATGGAATATTAGAGATTAATTGCTTTGCCTCATGCATTCTCAATGGGGGTGAAACTTGGTTTGAAGGAGACAGTGTGAAAAAAACTTAAAGATTATGATGATTTGTGGCTCTTCAAATAGCCACAGTCCATAAATGGATAAATTTATGGAAATTCATAGTATTGAAATTTCATGAGAAGGGGGGTCAATTAGGAAAAAAATGTCCAAAAAAAGCTTCTTAAGGGAGGCAATAATAACAAAAGGTTGAAAATATTGCTGTATTTTAGAAATAATGTTGGTTTAAATAATTAGCCTTTGCTGTGTGTTTATCACGTGCCAGGTGGAGTTTTATTAAGTGTGATACTAGGGGTACTCCCTTCCTCACAGAGGAAGAGTGATTTTGGACAGGAAGTGATTTTGTGTCACTGTATATGGAGGGGACAGGTGGCACAGGGACACAGAGGGGAACACGGGGACAACGAAGGCAGGTGACAAAGGTCATCAAGCTAGTGAGAGCAATCCTCACTCTCAGATTTCAGTCTCTAAACTGCTTATCCCACTGCCTCCTACACAGGAAGGAGGACAGGAGCCCAGAGGCGTTCCTGTTTTCTCACCACCACCCAGGCTATCCTGGACTTAAGACACATCCATCAAGCCCCTAGCAACCGTCCAGAATCTTCTCTGATAGGATTTCTCTATCACAAGCTTTCTTTTGATACAGGGTCTTCATGATGGTAAGAGGACCGTGGACAAAAGTGTGAAACATCAAGGGGCCTGACTTTGCTTCAAAAGGAAATGTATTCAGTGTCCTCATTTGAAATCCCGGGCTTCTCTTCTTGCTGTTGCTGTTGTCAGACTTCTCTGTGGAGTAACCATACTTTGAATCAAGTTTCCTTACATCTTATTTTTAAAATTAACATATGGTGAAATTGAACTCTCTCTTTCTATACTATGATTTTTTTTAGACTATGAATTTTAACGCATGTATAGGTTTTCATGTAACCATTACCGTAATCTGGGTGTAAAATTAGAACCATCCTTGCCCCAAATTACCCCAAAATACCTCTCCCCGTCCCCCTTCCCCACCCCCATGCTCTCCCCATCACTTCAGTCTTGACTTCGAATGTCATAAGCATCCTGCAGTCTGCAAACCTTGAAAATTTTTTTCTTTAAAAACTCTACATAACACCCTTGAAATCTACTCAAGTTGTATGTTTTTGTTACTGAGTAGAAGTCTATGGTATGGATCTATGGGGTTTTTTACCCATTGAAGGACATTTGAGTTGGTTGAAGTATTTTTAAAAAAAATTATTGGCATTTCTTAATTTCTGTTGAAATAACAAAGAAAAAAACAAGGTGGGCACAGATAACTACAGAGTAGAATAGAGTTTGGACTTTTCATCTATCACAAATAAGGCTTCTGTGGACATTTGTGTACAGGGTCTGTAGGAATTTAAGTTTTCAGTTCTCCAGGGTAAATATCCAGAAGTAGGATTACTAAAACATATGGCAAAGGAATGTTTAAAATGTTAAGAAACCACCATATCCATGAACTATTTCAGCTGGGTATGGTGGTGCATACCTGTGGTCCTAGCATTTGGGAGGCTGAGGCAGGAAGATTACGAATTTGAGGCCAGCTTGGGCTACATAGTGAGACCCTGTCTCAAAAAAATGAATTGGCTACATTCCTAGACTTTGTAATGAATGCCACTAATCTATATGTGTAACCCTAATATCCCGCTGTCTTGATTACTCTGGTTTTAAAATGTCTTAAAAGTACAAGGTGAGAATCTACCTGTTTTCTTCTTCAGAGCAGTTTATTTTGCATTTTATATACATTTTAAGTTCTACTGGGATTTTGATTAGTATCGCATTAAATCTTTATATCAGTTTGAGTGCAGAATGGACACACCAATACTGAAACTTCTGACCCCTAAATAGGCTATGTCTCTCTTAAGCCTCTTAGAGATTATCTTAGACTTACATTTTTTAACCCACTGATACTTGAAAATGCAGCACACATTTTGATTTGTGGACTTACCTCATCAATATTTTGTAGTTTTCAGTATAGGTATTCTGTAAATGTTTATATAATATCTCTTTTCATTTCTGGTGTTTTCACGGCTCTGAAGTCTATTTGTCTGATTTTAATTGAGTTACTGCAGATTTTTTGATTAGTATTCAAATGCTACCTATACAATTACATTTCAAGTGGGTGCCTAAAACAAAACATACCCTTGGACTGTTTTTTTGTTTGTTTTATGTTTTGGTTTTTGAGATGGGGTCTCTCTGTGTAGCCAGGCTGGCCTTGAACTCGTTATTCCCCTGCCTCAGCTGTTGGGATTACAGGCGTGTGCCACCACAGTCAACACCTTGGATCTTACTTTTAAACATTTACTCTGACATGATCTATCTTTAAATAATGTGATTAGATACTTATGTTCAATGTCTAAGAATGGTATGCTTGGATTTCTATCTATCACTTTATAGTTTTCTGTTCCTTCCATTTTTCATTTTTTGTTTTTGTTTTCTTCTATCTCTGTATTATAACTTTTTAAAGTATCTTATTATAATTTATCAAGATTATTACCATATCATTTATGTAGGTCTTTTTCCTAGTTGTTGCTTTAGGGACACCGTGTAAATACTTAACTTTTCATTTCCACTTGTAATTCATCTTCTAAACTTATAGAAACCTAACTGCAATATATGCATTTTTCTTTCTCCTCTTGTTATTTATTGCATTACATCGATAAGCACTGGAAACCAAGTAGCTAATGTTGTAACTTTTGCTTTGAACTACCGTACCTGCCTACTGAAATAAAGAGGAGAAAAATAGTACATTTACCTGGATAGTTGCTGTTTCCTATGCTTCTCCTTTTCCTGATGTTCTAGGCTCCCCAGGCTTCCTGACATCATGTATCTTCAGTCTTCAGGTAACAGTTCCATGCATTTTGTCAGTGGGTTGTATTTGCACTCAGTAGGAGAGATGGGGTAGAGTCTGCCTGCCACTTCTTGTCCAGAATTGGTCCCAGAAAGTCTTATGTGTCCTTTTGGTGGCTGTGACTCCCAACAGTCATACAGAGACTTACACCCCAATGACTTAAATCCATTTTGATATGATCCAGGTCCCTCTTCTTCTTTCTTGTTCTGGATACCCAGGAGGAAATAGAAGCAAAGTTTGAGGAGACAGAACTAAGATCAATTCAGGTAGTCACTGGTGCAAAGCACTTTATGCACACCATCATACTTTATCTTCATAATACTTCTTTTCTATGTATATTTCCCCCATTTTTGGAGAGGGGTGATCCTGGGGTTTTGCTAGGCAGATGCTCTATCACTTGGGCCATACCTCCATCCCTTTTCACTTTAGTTATTTTTTAAGTAGGGCTTTGCCTTTTTTGCTCAGGCCAACTTGGACCTCCATCCTTCTATTTATGCTTCCTCCATGGCTGGGATGATAGGCATGCACCACCATGCTCAGCTTATTGGCTGAGATGGGTTTTCACCAGTGTTTTGCCTGGGCTGGTCTTGAGCAGAGATCTTCCCAGTCAGTACCTCCCGAGCAGTTGGAACGACAGGCACGAGCCCATTTTAATAAAAGGAAAATTTAGTGCAGCAAAGTTACATAACTAAGTAAGTAGCACATCCAAATTCGGGTTTATTTGCCTAATTCCAAAGACTGAGAGTTTTTTCTCCTACCATGCCGAGGTTAAACTAATCTTATGTTTTCAAATGTGGGTATTATTGGAAATTACCATTATATATTTTTAGCCCACTGATATTTGAAAATGCAGGAAATGTTTTAATTTTGTGTTTATCTTGATCAGGGAGTACTCAAGGATTAAGTGTCCTCTGGTTCTCTTTTAAGCTCTTTCTATTTTTTTAATTATTTTTGATGTGGTGATTTCACCAATAATCATGTGATTAGTTCAGTCCACTCTAGTAGACTACTGGCCTGAGACGTTCAGACTTTGAGTTTATCAAGAAATAAGCCAGCAACATTTAACATAGAATGTTTAGCTTGGACAGAACATTCGACTCATATAAATTTGTGAGCAATCACCAGGGTCTGCACGAGTAAGTGGATTGACCTTTGGCAAGTACACAGCTAAGGGCCAACTGAGCTGACCTGTTGTCAGGAAGTCCCTGATGGAACAGCCTTGACACAGTGGGAGAAACAGATCCACAGCCCTCATGCCTGATGAGATTGTCTTGGTGGCAGTTACATGTGTTCCTTGGCAAATGGCCATTTCCGCAGCCCCAAACCAACAACAGTTCCGTGGTTGAAGCCTTGTCTTAGACAGAGTGGTTCTGCAATTCTTTGGCAGTCTCCCCAGACATGGTGATGTGGAAGAGCTCCATGAAGATTGAGGGGAAGATAGTGAGTGAGGTTACCAGGTCAGACTGCAATTGTTAGCTTTCAAAAAGTCAAACAGATAAGATTGAACCCAAAGGGAGTTACCCTCAGAGACTGCAAACTACCTGATATTTGTAAGATAGTTTTTGTCAATGTGTTTCTTAGGGCAAAGACATTTTCTTTAAATTTGTCAAGGAGCCAAAAAGATTAAGACTCCCTGATCTATTTGTTATGTAAACACGAGCAGATTTACAAAGTCACTGTCTGTGTGATGCACAGTGAGTCGTTAACAATAACAAAGTGTGAGATGACCAGCTGAGAGCCTCCATCAAGGGGATGGTTGCACCATCTATGCTAGGCACTGTTAGAATCTGAGAGGGTCTTTGTTGCTGCAGCCCTCTTGTGTTGGGGTCCAGCTGATTTGATTTTGACAATGATGACCAGAAGACTGAAAACAATAGATAAAGAGCACATGGTCTTTAGGGAAGTTGGATGAAGGATATATGGAAATTCTCTGCATTAATTTTGTAAGTCTTCTATAATGAAAAAATTATGTATATGTACTTACGTATTATGTATATGTGTGTACATAAGTACATATGTGTCTTTTGAACATATGTCTTTCCTTTGGAAAAAGACTATAGAAGCAAATTATTTCTTCTATATGGATGAAATGGATGACATTTTGATAGCAAGGAGACTAAGACAAGCATAGTGTAGTGTTTAAGACCATAGACTTGGGGCAAATTTCTGGGTGTGATTCCCAGACTTAATATTTAACTGCTGTGTGACCTTCATCATTTTACATATTCCCATTTTACACATGAGAACCCTGAAGCACAGAGTTTAGTAAACTCCTATGGCAGTTATAGGAGTTCAATGAGGCAACTCAAGTAAAAACGCCTGGTGCACAGAAAACATTGAGTGAGTGTTAACTAGTAATAATTGCAGTAATAATTATCAAAGTAGAGACCTAAGATTTTAAAAATCAAACATGGGTTGGTAACAATAGGCAAATTCTAAGTTCTAACAGCTAATGACCTTCCTGCATGCAGGACGTTTAAGGACTGAAGCTCTAGAAAGAAATAGTGGCCAGAGAAATAAAACGGAGGGAAGATCAATGGATGCAGGATATAGATTGGAAATCAAATTAGGCCAACAGGGGCCTATTGGGAAATTTCTGAATCTTGGAGAAACACAAAGTAGATCATGTGACTCCTAGAAGCCCTCTATTATTAATAACTCGTACAATAAACCCTGAGTATCTCATAAGTTTGATTTGTTGACAGTATCCCATTGGAAAGCAAGTAGGGCTCACTATTTTTTTATTGGATTTTTCCTAGTCACTCTTGAGTAAGACTGTTTCTTCCCTTTTTTATTCAAGGACTTTTTTCTCCTTGTTTTGCAGTTGGGATCTTATTTGCCGTCTTAATGAATTGTTAAGAGGCTAGCTTTGAGAAAAAT